TTACTGCTCACCATTTCTGAAGAGGGACCTGCGTGATTGGCCGCCATTAAGGGGGGGAAGGGACTTCTTCTCCTGGCCCACGAAGGTATCCCACCGCACTTTTTCTGGTCCTCCGAGCTCCTTGGCTTTCTTCAGACAGCCCTCCAAGTAGTCGATGGGGTCGTCGGGTCGGTAGTACATCAGACCTGTCAGCAGGCTCTGGAGACAATAATGAAGGAGGAGGACTTGTTGAGGGAGAATGAGATGTTTGTTCAGGCATCATGACATCTTTGTGATCTTGTGTTGCTCTGTAACAGCGTAGCGGCTGCCTTTTTTTAATGAGGAGAAGTTCTGAAGTGCAGATCATGGTTGCCTTGGCTGGTCTCCAACAGGGGAAACAAAACATCTCATTTTGTCAGAAGCCCATGAAATTGAGCTCAGGTCATCAGGACTCTGTGTTGATTTATCAGGCTGTTATTGTCGAGGAGCCACAGTGATGAATGTGAGAAAATGAACCGCGCTCCAAAACACAAGTTAATGTTTGTGTGACATTTGCTCCATGAATGTTTTAAAACAATACTTTCCTCTGGGACTTCTCATCCCCACCCTCCTCTCTAACAACTCCCACCCATGAACACATACAGCTTCTCCCCACTGAAAGCCATTCACTGTGCTCATATCTGATAGCTTATAATGGAGATCAGTAACATTACAGTGCAGTTTTGATGATGTGTCACTTCACTCCTCAGTGTAATTTGAACTGGCTGTAAATACACATGCAGTGATTGCTTGCATTAGCTGCACTGCACATGGGATTGAGTCTAATTAAGTGGACGAGCCAATTTACAGTTGCCTCAGGAAAATAAATACCTCATTATTATATTTTTCCTCAATGCTGCTTAATAGAGAGTGTAATGCATTGTCTTTATTGTTCTTGATTGCATTTGACCTCTAATGGTATATAATCCTGTAGAGACTTCTTTCATATTACATTGGATAGTTACTTAATAGTATTTTCGTTCTGTATACAATATGGCTAATATTCCACAAGTCAGATCATGATACTATTTTCTGCAATAATTGCAATACATGTATTTGTAATGCTATTTTACTATTAATTTGTCATTAAAATGGAATTCAGTCTGCATCTGAAAATAGATTATTCCCGAAATCATTCTTCATCTTAAATCAGTCAAAGAAAATAAATCTGTTTGGTTTGGTTACAATTTGTGCAATTATCATACATTTCACCATAACACACAGAAATCATTAGCGTTCCTCTTCTTCAAACCATTATTTATAATCAATAAGTAAGGACAGTCATCGCCCCTCCATCAGCCATAACAATATGTATTGAGGTGTTTGCCATCACTCTCTCATGCAGCGATGAGTCTTTGTGTAAAAATCACACAGCCCAATCTTCACATATCAGCTCATGTTTCAGAATATCTCACCTCAAATAGTTGAGGTATCTCCCGCCGCGCGAGATACTCCTTGGCATCGTTGGTATTCATCTCCAGTCGGATTTCCTCTGAAATCACAACTTGTCCGGAGCGTTTCTTTGTTTTTGTTTTCTTCTCCCGGTGTCTCGGTTCCGTTAGGGTTGATCTCTGTTAACAGCGGACCTCCAGGCAGTTTCCCTTCAGCGCATTTTAGCCTCGTGTGTGGACTTTACAACTGGATTCCTGCAGGCGATGCCACCGCGCCACCCTCCTCGGTGATGCGATGCGTCTCCCCTCCTACAGTACAGCTCCTGCCTCAGCGCGCACCATGTGTGCCTCCTGACGTTGGCACAGAGGTCGCGCGCTGTGCCAAATAACGCACTCACCGCCTCAACGTGGCGTCTTTCACACCGGCTACAGTCAGCAACCAAACTTGTTGGAGAGAAAGATACAGTAATGCACAGAAAGAAAAGACACCAATGATTACATATATGGCGGTAATGGTCCAGTAGGAGGTGCTTTTAACCCTCCTGCCGTGTTCGTTTCGCGCCCCTTACTTTGGTGTTCCCGGTCAAATCAGTCTGTTTTAACTGCTCTTTAATTAACACAAAAAACCTGAATCATCACCACATTTTAAACAATGTCTCAGATTACTGGTTTGCATGAATTACTGCAATGAATATATCCAAAGAATAGACACTTGAAATGTTTTTCAAAATGAACATGTTGTTGATTTGTGTGTGTGTAGCCTACTATCTGATGAATGAACATAATCCATCCCGTCCTATGGAGGGGCCAGTCATTCAATGAGAGAGGCACAACATTTTAGGGTAAAACATACTTTTTATTTTATTTCTTAATATTTGTTGGAATTTCTTTTAACAGAAGAGTCAAATTGTAACAGATACGGGAGTTAATGGTCCCCAGTAGGTGCTTTTAATTTTGTTTTGGGTATAGAAAACATGTTATTGTTGTTTTCTTCATGTGCTCTATCAGATAACAACAAGGACAGAGTTTCACCTTAATCTGTTTATAACACAAACACAAGGTCCACATCACAAGCTTTTAATTCAATCTAATTCCTTCCTGGGCATATATTTGTAATCCTTTTGTCTTTTGTCAAGCTACTTACCAAATCCAGAGTAGGTCTTCAAGCTCAATGCACTGGATCTATTTTAGAAGGTTTTGTCATATAATAAAACTAATGACACTTAAATCCCGTTATCAGAGATGGGATAAGTCAAGTAGGTAAATATTGAGCAATAACTCTTTTGTCCTTGTGTGAGACCATTGCTTTGCACCTGATCTTTGCCAAATGTGATGAACTAGCAAAAGCATTGCAACCCAAAATATTTAAATTAGTAATAGTACAATTCCATGTATTTTTTTTATTTGCAACACGAGAAATAAAAAACCAATAAAAAAAAACATGGTTAAATTGTTTGGCTTATTGAAAGCTATTGCACTTGTAGGATTTTAGCAGTTCAGGTTTGCACCCTCATGGTTGATTGTTCTCATTGTAAGTCTCTTTGGATAAAAGCATCAGCTTAATGTAATGTTATGTAATGTAAAGAATTATCTGGACAGAAAATATGTCAGGCATTAAAACATTTGACATCAGGGAAACATGGTCCATTAAATGTATCGCTTCACCATCAAGCGTCATTGATATAAACAGAGATCGTGTCCTCTTGAGTATAAATAAATATTTGACCAAGACTGGCACGAGCCTCCAGTGCAGCAGCCTGCAAGTGTTTAGCTCCAGGTCGATCACCACTTAACCTGCATACCAATGTTTATGTCTAGTTTAGGTTAAGCATATAAACAAGGGTTCAAAAGTCGAATTCCACTGGATCAAGTCTTCTTTAGGCAACACGAATAGGCCACTGGTTTGCTCCATAGGATTTGATGCTTAGAGGCCACTAATCCTCTGGACAGCTGACTTTAAGTCACCTTGTTGTATCAGAGAACAACTTTAGAGCAGTTGAGCAACATCAGTGTGTTGAATCTGAATGACATTGGAAGCATGAGTGAGAATATGTCACTGGTGAGGACAATAAATGCTAATTATGGGTTGAATATGGCATAGTGATTAGATTTATGCAACCACAATCTGTTTTGTTGGCGCACTATCCTTGCTTTTTCATTTTCTACTGTGATGTATTTGAAGGAGGGCATTACTATGATGATATCGATGCAAGCAAAGACTGTGATGCTGCAGGTCGAAAAGCAGCAGAAGTAAGAGACGTCCGCTGTATTGAAGTGGTTATCAGACCCCTAAAGGCTTTTCCACGGTTTCTCAAACTGATTTTGATGCTGCTTTTCAAGAAGACCTTGAACCTGCTGCATTGTAATGTTACATTAGAATTGCATGAAGGATATGTTTTTTTCATAGCTTTATCTTGTACTGCAGGGCTGCCAGACTGAGGCTTCTTCAGCAGAGACGTGACGCGCCTTCTGACATCTGCTGCATGTGATATACAGTACATGTCACTTCTCATTATGAATTCCCTCAGCAATTAGCTGGATAGGCATTTGAATACGAAGCTGTCAACATTACTTGACTTCTAATCTTCTTTTTTCCATCTGCCACATATGACTGAATTATGATTGGCTGAATTAGACATGCAGTCATCTGTGTCTAATGCTAACCCCTTAAGTGTCTTACTTAAAAATGAATTGACACATGAAAAACAACTCCAAGAAACCACAAAACCAAACAAATCATTACAATATCAAAGTGAAATAATATAAAAAGTCTCCTTTTTTTATGAAGTCATTTACAACTAGCATGTATGTCATCTGTTTGTGATTTGCACATTCTTTTTTTTGTGACCAACTTTTTATTGTTTTTGTTTTGTTTGCCTCACAAGGGGACTTATATACACAGATACAAATTATATAGACAATAATACAAAAAGAAAAAGAAAAGACAAAGAAAGAAATACACATATATAGGGAATCCCTTTCCCATCGTCCCTCCCCCTTCCCACCCATCTTGCCATTTCACAGAAAATCCTACCTGATGTGTGTTAGCAATCGTCTGAGTTCGTCTATCTATTATATTATATATATTATTTATATTATAGCATAACAATTTATCCACATAAAATACATTCATACCTTTTTTTTCCCACATAACATTTAATCTGTTTAAGCTGATTTGCACATTCTGTATGTGTATCTGATGTGTGTTTGTATTTCTATGCTGAAAAAGGTTGGACAAAGCTATAACATATACGCTTTTTTTGTATTTAGGGGACACATTATTTCAATGAGCACGTAGTAGAACAAAAGAAAACAACAATATTTTCCTGGCACATACTCCATTGTATTTCAAGTTTATCAAAAGCTAAATGGTTAATCACAAAGTGTCTAGAGTGTCTGACTAGAGATGATGTACCAGCTAACTGTCAACATAAAATGTCTTAACAATTAACCATGAAAAAGAGCAGCTATTTTAGACGTTAACTTTATTCTTTCAGTAAAATAATGCATACATTTCTTTCTCCTTCCACATGTTCCATGCCTGCGCTTTTATCTTGAAAGGAATTCTACCGGAAGCACTTACTGGGCGGAGTCGCCGGTTTTCACTTCCTTGATGCTCACAGCTAACAGAGCTGCACAATGAAAATACTCACTTTATTCAGCTTATTTGCCACCTATTCATCAGGAAACATTATCAACATCGAGGTGAGTCTGTATTATTTCACATGCAGCTATTAGTATCCCGCAAATTAGTTAGTTATATGTTGAATTTCACCTGAAACGCCGTTCCCATGTTAGCTCTCTCTGCTGTCATGCTAGCTGTTGTGGTGATGAGTCTGATTGCTCGTATGAGACGAAACTAATACAATTATTTATTCATTTCCCCTACATTTCTTAGGAAAACGTAGGGCAGTTTTTTAGCAGTGGTCATACAAACAACTGGGCTGTTCTGGTGAGTATTTATTGATTTAAACATTTCATTTTTAGCTAATTTCATGCTAATTGATTTTCTGCATGAATGATGGCAGCAGCAGAAACATGTTTGTGAAAGCTGCTTTTCTTATTTGTTTGATGCTCAGGTGTGTACATCCAGATTCTGGTTCAACTACCGTCATGTGGCAAACACGTTATCCGTCTACAGGAGTGTTAAGAGGCTGGGCATTCCTGACAGGTAACTTTAATAACATTTCTGTATTGAAAATGTCTAATTTAATATCACTTTTTTGGATACGTAACCGTGATCTTGTGGTTATCTAGAACAGAGACCGATTTAGATTAGTCTATTCATCTAAATACTCATCAAAACAATCATCAGATTAATGAACTATAAAAATGATAATCGATCACAACACTATGGCCAACATTTTGAAAATGTGCAAACATGTAAATACATAGGTAGGTACAGTTCTGCACTCCCATTTGAGCCTCTCTGAAATGACACTCTGAAATCCTCACAACCCGACATTTTATCTCGCTGTAAGTCAAGAAATATTTTTAATCAGTGTAAAATACTACTATTACGAATGTTTCACTTTCCCGTTCCTGCCTGGCATGGTCACCTAAACTCTAGGAATACACTTTCTATGATTGTATACATGGCAAGCTAAAAACATGGCAAGCACTAAAAGACATTCGATCATACTTTCTGGCAGAAGCCTCTCATCCTTTATTCTGCCATTTAAAATCTTGAGCTTCTGCCAACTGAAAATGTATTTAAGACATACTTCATCACAAGTGCTATCAGTATTCTTAACTGCATAATGTCTCAGAAGATCCAAGCCACAGAGATGAATTAATTCATGATATGAATGAACTGTTGTGAGGCATAATATGACCTTGTCTTTGTGTTTGCTTAACTAACTGCTTGCCTGATTTATTATTTAAACTTCCACCCAAGTAGACATTAAATAAATTATATTCTTTAGAGGGACAGACAGGCATTTAATGTATCATCCTTTGTGTGTATGTCAAAAAAAGTATCTTTGTATAAAAAGCATCTGAAAAAATAACTTGATTACATTAAACTAATCGGTACACAAATGGTATTTAACAACACACTGAACCTGTGTTTAGGAAAAATTCCGCATTTGTCATTTACCTTGTTTTCTAATGTCGTCATCTTTAATGGTCTCTGTTGTTTTCTCGTTCTCCAGCCACATAGTTCTCATGCTGGCTGATGACATGGCTTGTAACCACAGAAACCCCAAGCCTGCCACCGTGTTCAGCCACAAGAACATGGAGCTGAACGTGTACGGTGACGACGTGGAGGTGGACTACAGAGGATATGAGGTCTGTTTACCTTGCAGTCAGGAGGTTATTCACGCAAGCAATCCAGTTTCCCTTTTTACAATCTGTTTCGAAGTCTAATAGTACATGTCTGTATCTTGAAGGCAAAAAAAAAACAGATTACTCCACATCTCAAAATGCATACATTTGTTTGAAATATATTCTTACCCCTTTGGCGAGAGTTTTAACCGGCATATTCTCTTTTAAACATCAGGCACAGTTATTACATGTTTGCATATGTTTTCTATTTAATGAACAAGACATTCATAAAAAGTTTAAAATCTGAAATGTGTAACTTCCAAATCTTGCCGAATGCAAGGTGGATGTATCCATGTAGTGTTTCACCAGCTTTATAGTAACTAAGTACTGATATATAACATCACTTGTAGGCAAATATTATACAGGTGCAGTCAGGAACTGGAGGGTGTTAATGTCAACACTGTGAGTCCAGTGTTTGCTCTTTCGGTTGGGCCGGAAATTATTTTATATAATTTGCATTCTCAAATAGAATTGCCTCTAGGTGTTGTGTTTGTTACCACAAGGCAGAGTTCCCTGTAGTATATCGACTCTTTATCACAGTTTGTTTTTGATTATTTACCCTGCTTCGTGTCCTATAAATATGAACAAATACCGCGCTACCGATCAATGTTTGCTGTGAAACGGTAATTACAGGCAAGATTGATTTTCACAGTTTCATTAAAAGATAGAGCAGTTACCTTATACTGACCCCACTGATGCAGGTGTCCAGTTTTTAAATGTGTGTGTCACTGCTCACTGTTTTACAAAGCCTCAGTGGATGACGTGTGTTGAATTAGAAGACGCACATTACATAATATATCACCTCTGACTCATGCATGAATATTGTATCTGTATCCTCTTCAGGTGACCGTGGAGAACTTCCTTCGTGTTTTGACGGGCCGGCTGCCGCCCAGCACGCCGCGCTCCAAACGCCTCCTCGCTGACGACCGGAGCAACATCCTCATATATCTGACAGGTAACTAAAGGACAGATCCACCCTCACATACTCCACTGACACTCTCTATATTTAATTATAAAGTAATGCTCAATCAGCTGTTATGGTTAAAGAAGTGTCTCCAACCCTGCTTTAGCTAAAAGAGAAACTAACATGTTTCAGAGAGGGATGTGAAAAAGAACTCCTTATGGTTGTCAGTAAAGTACATGAAGGTAGTTTGTAGCTTATTTAGGGGGTTTCCTTAAGAAGCATGCGAGTGTGCCTCTTGTCTTGGGTCCTGAACATACAAATACAATGCAGGCATACAATAAAATAACAACTTAAATCAAATCAAGTTTTATTTATAAAGCACATTTAAAAACGAGTTTTGGTCAAGCCAAAGTGCTGTACATGTAATAAAAGCACACTACAATAACATAATAATTTTTTTTTAGAAAGGACACAAATTTACAACAGAAATATAAAGACAAAACACAGAGAAATGTCAGGTACATGTGGTAAATGCTTATATGCTGCTCGTGCTCTCTCTGCATATCATGTATTTATTTTGCTATGTATATAAATGTCATGTTCTTAAATGTTGTATGTGAGGGACATATGGAAACTAGCTCAAAGCTAAAATCCGGCATGTTTACGTTTTAAAAGCATTATTTGTTTTAGATGTTCAGATGCACTGTCCCTCGTCAAATAAACGATTAAATGAAAAAAATGTCAGGTGTCATGCTCAGCTCTGACTAGAAGGCCAGAGAGAAGAAGTGTGTCTTCAGTGAAGATTTAAACTTAAGATATATAAAGAATCGTAGCTCATCAGATTCACAGATGTGAGAAATGAAGTAGTAACAGTCTTAGCAGTACAATTAAATATAAAAACAGAGAGAGACCCCCAACAGTACATGCAGGCGCAGAGCATTATATTATAGCCAGGTATTGATCAGTATATAATGTAACCAAAGTGGCCAAACTTTCCAGATCTTCTTGTAGTAGATGACAGACTCATAGCAGCAACACTCATTAAATATATGGCATATGTTGTCGTTTTTCTAACCCTAATTGTTTCTCGTGGGTTAAGGTTAATATCAGTAAATTCAGTATTATGATTATATTAAAGATTTGTTTTTCAGGTGTTTTTCAATTTACATTTCAGTAAAGCTTCAAATAGTTTTTCTACAGAACTGTGTTAGTTCACATCGTGTTTGTTGCTATGAAATACAGTATATTAACATGAGTTCAGGTTGTCTGTGTTTGATCTTTACTACATCGATGGTTAAGAAAATCATCCACAAAACAATTAAGTTGGCCCAGAAGGTAAAATCATTAAGAAGTTGACACTATTAAGTTGTTTGGCGGAAAGGTTATTACAATAGGGGAGCTGAAAATTCAATATTCGCAACACTGAGCATTATCTACCCCTTAAAAGGCATGTCACCTCATGTGAGTCGTGTTTCTAAACTCTTGATTTGTTTTTATAGATATATGTTTGAAAGAGTCTGTTTTATTTCTTTACATTATTAATCTGTAGCTGCATGCAGGAGAGTTTCAGTTGTTTCTCCCCCACAGCTGCCAGCCGGTTTTATTTTCAGCTTGTTATTTTCTATTCTTTATCTCCTTCTTTTTTTAGCAATATGAATCAGAGAGGAATGAATAATGAATAATATGTGTTTGTCTAACAGGCCATGGTGGAAACGGCTTTCTGAAGTTCCAGGACTCTGAGGAGATCAGTAACGTGGAGCTGGCCGACGCTTTTGAGCAGATGTGGCAGAAGAGAAGGTAAATAAAGCGGAAAATCTCATAAAAGTGTGATGGGCTTTGTGCGGAAACATCTAACACTGTGTTCCCTTTGTTGCAACTCCACTTCATATTTCCTTAATTCCCCTGAGGGCCAATTATCTAGGAAGCAAGTCAACACTCATTTAATGACATGACGTGTTATATATATCTCGTCTTTAGGAGCGACTCAGGAAGAGATTGGCTGCTTTATAAGTCGTTTTTTTATATTTTCTTGAAATGCAGGGCTCGATACAAAATACACATTTTACAGTGTCACAGACTTTGCTCATACACTACCTTGATTATTAATCAGTGTTTAAATGCATTGTGTTTGTCAATGTTTTGGTGCTAGAAGGTGTAGATTTTCAGGAGTAATTTAACTCAAGCTCAAAAATATTGTTTTTAAATACCTCCAGTAAACTTCATTTGGAAACAGTCAGTGTTTGGTGAAATACGTGCAGCTCCATGTCACTGCAACAGGGCCCCACACATTCATCTTGTGAAACAGAACTTTTCAAGATGTCCGCGGGGTCTTAAAAAGTATTAAAAGTTGATAAATCAATTTAGCGAATATTAAGGCTATTAAAAATTATTAAACGGCATTTTCCAAGGTATATCATTTTGTAGCTTGTTTTCAATAAGTATATAAATGGTCCAAAGAGGTTGTATTCTACAGTTTGCCTGAATGTAATCATTGCGTAGGTGTGTAGTGTGATTCTGTGTAGTTTATTTATGGCATCCCGTTGGATTTGACGTCATCTGAACAGGACATCGCACGCTCACTGCTTGATAGCGCGCGAAGGTCCGTTTACGCCGGTTGTTAAACAACATCGTTATGGGGAAATGCAAGTTTGCGTCCAAATGGTTGGAAGATAAGGAGGAAGGACAATCAATACTGTATATAGTAAATGTGAGGTAAAGTGTGTCGCCAATGTAACCGGTTAGAACTTGAAGTGGCGATGAGGTCTTAAAATGTATGGAAAGGGTCTTAAAAAAGGTCTTAAAAGGTATTACATTTGACTTCAGGATTCCTTCATATACCCTGACTTATCATTACGTTCGATATATTTAGTTACAATTAACTTCCTGATGAATTAATGCGTTCCTTAGGTGGAGAAATTCAAATGAGTTTCATCTCACCTGCCATCACTGAATCATAAATCATTAAGCATGAAGGATAACTGAGTTTTTATTTCCTGTATTTGTTTTAATCAGGCTCTACTTCTCTCTTCTCTATTTGAGTCACTAATGCGATGATATTCACAAAAATCCCGACAATAGATAGTTAGAATAATCCGCTTATTGTGTGTTTTTTAGTTTGTTTTTAATCTAGATCCGCCGTCTGTATATTCTCATCCCTAGAAGCCCAACCTTTTAGACTAATGAAAGCCTGAACAGCAAGTGAATAACCAGAATACAAATGATTACAAAACCTCTTATGAAGGAGAGGCTGTCTCTGTTTGTATCGGAATGGGTTGATGCTGCGATCTGTGTTTGATTTGTGCGTTTAAGACCCTAATGAAGCCAAAGCGTCCTCTTTTGTCCTCAGACCTGTGAATGGAGAGTAACTCGGTGACAGAGAGAAGCTTAGATGCTGATGTGATAATTGCAGTCTTTAACTGCCAAATTACAGTCGCCATAGAGACTTGGTCACCTCCCTTCATCATCATCAAACTGTGTGTGTGTGTGTGTGTGTGTGTGTGTGTGTGTGTGTGTGTGTGTGTGTGTGTGTGTGTGTGTGTGTGTGTGTGTGTGTGTGTGTGTGTGTGTTGTGTGTGTGTGTGTGTGTGTGTGTGTGTGTGTGTGTGTGTGTGTGTGTGGTGTGTGTGTGTGTGTGTGTGTGTGTGTGTGTGTGATGTGTGTGTGTGTGTGTGTGTGTGTGGTGTGTGTGTGTGTGTGTGTGTGTGTGTGTGTGTGTGTGTGTGTGTGTGTGTGTGTGTGTGTGTGTGTGTGTGTGTGTGTGTGTGGATTTTATACAAAGAGAAACATCATTACACACTCTCAATGCATGCAGTGTCTTACTGTGGATCGTGTGTGTGTTTTGGTCACCATGGCAACTGCCTTATGAAAGATGGTTTGGAGGTTTGTGTAGTGCCAGGTTTTTTTTTATTGGAGCAAATGGATGAGAGATATGCCAGCTGTGTTCTTTCTTATCAGTCCTGTTTGAGAATATACATGATCCTCTGTGTGTGTGTGTGTCTCTCTCTCTCTCCAGGTATAACGAGCTGCTCTTCATCATTGACACCTGTCAGGGCGCCTCCATGTACGAGCGGTTTTACTCCCCAAACCTCATGGCTCTGGCCAGCAGTCAGGTCGGAGAGGACTCTCTGTCGGTGAGTTACCTGCCCTCACACGATTAACATTACATTAAAATCATCCATCAGTTTGTCAGGTTTTTTAATAAGCAGCGTGGTTTCATAACACATTTCAACTCAAGACTAGGACAGAGCAACGTGTTCATACCCACTCTCCCCTTAATACAATCTCAAGTGTAAAGAATTGCTTTGCAAAGTCATATCTTTCCAAAAATACTTTATAAACAAAAATAAATCCCTCTGAATCATTTTGTATGACCCGTTAAGTGCGTGTTGAGATGTCTGTATGTGCTGCCCTCTGCTGCACAATCAAACAAATATCAACCATTACAATGTTGGCTTTCTTACAATTCAACTAACATGATTATCTAACCAAAAAGCGTGGTTTTGGAAAACCTTCGTGAATGTTTTGTATGTAGAAGAGGAATTTACAGCGTAGATAAGAAAGGCAAAATAAAAATGCACTGATTTCAGGTGAATAACTTCTTATTTTGATGCAAAGATCTGTACATAATCAGGAATGTAGCACAACATGGAAGTGAAGCAAATTATGTTTAATTAAATGTGAAAGTGCATTAAAAAATGTTGTTGACAATGAATGAATTAAAGTTATTTCATTCTGAATATAAAATCTTTTACACCCATATCTGCAATACCACAGTGTAGTTGAAGGTGTTGGAAGTCAGTCAATATGGCCCATTGCCAGCACTAGCAAGTTATTGAATTCATACCATACATTAAAATGAAGTGCAGTTGTGAGGAGTACTTATATTTGATCTGCAGTGATCATGCAGCGTATTCATTCACTTCGCTTATCAGACTTCGATAGTACATAATTACACACGACGTCAAACCATAACACTTTTTTCGCACATTAAAACAAAGTGGCATGTTTTAGTCCTGATGTATCCTGAGGGTAAAGAGTTATTTGTGGTCATCCACCACATGGCTGGGATTTATTTGATCATCCAAAGGAAATATAATCTTGTTCCCACTATTGGGCAAAGAAGGATTTCTGAGCCAAAAGTAAAACACACCATCCTAAAGTGTTGTTAGACAATGAATATACAAATGTTTTTTCTTTTTGTCCTCCCACAGCATCAGCCAGATTTGGCCATAGGAGTCCATCTGATGGACCGCTACACCTTCTACCTGCTGGAGTTCCTGGAAGACATCCACCCTGCAAGCAAATCCAACATGAACGACCTGGTGAGTGTGACTTTAACTAATGTCAGAGAGAACAAACGTACCGTAGAGCAGACATTTCGGTGGATTCGCATTTTCTATTCATTCAATATTTTCAAGTGTTTTGTAAACTTACAGTCGAAAACCAATAGTATTCAATTTTATCAAGTTTATGTACACATTTTGACCTCATATAACAAGTGATATTTACTAATCGACTAAGCAATTCACCACTTGTGAACCATGCACACTTATGAAGATATCAGATCAGCATTTGCTCCAGGTGTCGACACACTGATTAAACAATCAGTCGAATTGGTAAACTAAGGCTGCATCTACACGGAGACGAAAACGAAAACTAACCGAATTCGATATCAAAAAAGTCCTCCGTCCACACGGTATCGGCTCAAGAAACGTGTCCGTCCACACGAGACCGCTCGACCCGCTGGAGACGCTGTAGTACAAATGCCGGGCCTGTAAGTGGCGCTGTACTTCCGCCACAAAATACACCAAAAGCAGCGAAGAAGACCCCCGGAGCATGGTTGCCATGGTTGCCTGCTTGCCCTTCTGTTTATTCTCCGCGGTGGATGTAGCAACATGTAGTTCATGTAATTCTCCATGTCCACTTGTTGCTGATGGTTGTGGTAGAGGAGCTGTAGATTTTGCACTAACATCTGTAGCATGGTCAGTAGCAGTAGCAGTAGCTACTGACCATGCTACAGCAGTGAGCAGCAGAGGCGGGGCTATGGCTTCATCGTTATCAGGAAATGATCGTATAGGATGTACACACGGAGCCGTTAGGCCCCCCAGAGCGTTTCGTCCGCAGATCTACCCACCTTGGGACAGTTACCGTTTGAGGGCTCCGTTTCTGCGGTTCCGATACCACCCGTTTCGTGTCCGTGTGGACGGGGCCTAAGTTAATTGAAAATAATTCACCGCACCAGACAATACTGAATTGTATCACTCAGCTTCATAAGGACAAAAGCCAAACATTCTCTGGATTCTGCTTCTCTATTGTGTGTATGTAATTCCTTTTATGTTGTATAGCACTGCAAGTACCTACTCGGCACTAATTAGATTATAATTGGATTTCAAACCACATAAACGATTTGGAGACCTCAATTTAAGTCCTGATTGTTCCTTTTGTTGTTAAGGATGTATTGGTTAACTGAAAAAAAACGAATTAAAAGTTCATATTTAGAAATTAATTGTGGTAGATTTAACGGATATTCATGCAGGATCCACTTTTTGTGTGACTGGCAGGTAAATGCAGTTCATGTGAAAACATGTGTGGTCCCTAAAATATAGCCAGCTTCCCTCCTCTTCCTCCTCTGTCTGCTGTGTGTGGTGTTAAAGGAGATGAAAGTCACACAGCACTTGAAGCAGAATGTCTGATACTGTGTTTAGGGTTTTTTGGCCTTTCACACATGACGGAGGTGATGGGAGAACACGCTGCTTCAGGCCATGGCCTCCCTTTTTATCTTCCACAGTCCTGCAGAGATCCACTGCCTCCTCACCAGGAGTTACAATCAACTCCCCTGAAATCCTCTGCCTGCACTCAGCGCCAGCTAAATCAATGCTCTCTGACTAGCGCTTATTATTCTCTCCAATCTTCCTTTTTCTGGAGATGCACTTTGTCCTCCAGCTATTTTGTGGATTTAAGGATCGATATTATGGATTTCCCGGACGAGCCCTCTGTTGTTTTTTTTAATCCAGTCTGCAGAGGCTTGCCCTTTTGATGAATCAGAAATTGCCTCCACCTTCTCAACAAAATCCTCCTCCAGTTGTGTGTTTTCCAATTCTCGTTTGTCTGATGAAGAAAATGTTAACCTCGGTTTAATGATTTTCTTTTTCATTTCAAATGAAGAGACCAGTCAGACAAAACACTGATGAATCACACACTTGAGAGGATTAACCCACAAGTGGTGACACCAGAGTTCCCGTTAGCCGGTAATTACCGGACTATGACCGGTAAAACATGCTGAAGACCGGCAAATCTAAATCTCTCCGGTCAAAATGTCCGGTCAAAATAATGTCCCCTTAGTGCAATACCGCATCAGTTGCACCACTTATGTGACAGAGAAGAATAGTATGTGACAGGCAAAAGAGTATGTGACAGACACAAGAGTATGTGACAGACACAAGAGTATGTGACAGACAAGAATAGTAAATTCTAATGTCTAACACTTAATGTGGAGAAAGAGATGTCCTGTATGGGTTGATTGTGCGTTGATCTGTTGGTAATGCCTCGGGGTTCCGGTGGGCATGTAAACAAATGCATAATGCTGCTGCGCTATACTTTGCGGCCTCACCCGGGTGCATAGCGACGCTTATTGTTTAGGTGTCTTTTAATAAGCAGGTAGTCATATCATTAGCTAGAACTAGCTAGATCTGATCGATATGGACATAAACGCGAGTAAAGTCTAATCTGACGGGAGAGAGAGACCAGCTGCTGCTGACGAGTCGACACGCAGCTCTGCATGATCCCCTGCAGCGGTGAGCGGAACAAAACACACACTTCAGGTTAGAATATCACACGTAGTTATTTTAATTACCTCTCAAACTACCGTAACTAGTTATAGATATGTTTTAGTTTTACTGTCGGGTCACTCATTACTGGATCCGCGAGCTGCATGATACTGACGGGCTGTCAGGAGAGGGAGAGAGCGCTCTGTTTATTATTCCTGTGTTAGTAAAAATGACTGTACACTTTTGAATAATGTAGTTCTACTATAATTCATTTGTTTAATATCGAATCATATCAATTTGTTTTAAAGCTCAATAAATAACAAAGAAGACTTTTCCGGCACTTTTCTCATTTTGTCAGGAAGATTTCAACTTTAACGGACATGTTGACCGGCAAAAAAATATTCTAACGGGAACTCTGGGTGACACACCAATCACTGAAAGATCTCTGATTGATGATGGCATAAACAAATGTCATGCTCCTTGCTTCTAATCTTCTCAGTGCACTTTCTCACATTTGAACAGCTCCCACTGACGCTCTAGCCATGTTTGACGCAGCTGGCTACTATCTGTAGTATAGAAAGTGAAACTCTTTAACGCCATCTGACCAACTGTCTCCTGGAAAAAGTGACCTACACAATTGAATTGATGCCAAAGCAGCATGAGCAAATGTCTACTGTACTGCAGATATTTATCTAGTAGCATTTATTTATACAGTTTGGAAAGGGTTCGTTTTCGTCATCTCCTCTGTCTCTCCATTCAATACTGTCACTAAAAATTAAAGTTTCAGGAGGAGGTTATAAAAATATCAATAGTCATACTTAAAAGTAGGAAAAGATAGAAAGTAAGAATTAACATTTGTCGTTTAATATTAATACAAATTAGGATTTTACTTTAAAGTTCATGGCAACAAATTGAGATGAAATCCATTTTCAGATTTGAAACTTTACTATTTTAGTTTTGAGAGGGTTTTTATTTGTAAATGGCAGATTGTGATGTGAATGGAGCCTTGCCTCTTTTGCTGTTTGTGAAGTTTAATATTTCTGCTTGTGTTTTCTCCCCAGTTCAAAGTGTGTCCCAAGAGTCAGTGTGTGTCCACTCCGGGCCACCGTACTGACCTCTTCCTGAGGGACCCAGGAAGTGTCCTCATCACTGATTTCTTTGGCAGCGTGCGCAAAATCGAGATCACCATGGAAACCATCAACTTGACCGACCCCATCCAACAGGTGGAGCTGAGGTAAGCAGATTTATTTTCATTTGTGAAGTGTTTGATCTAAACTTTATTTTTTTTTCAATATGGCAATGATTATAATATGTATGGCAAGGGAGAAAAATACATAATGACATCTGAAGCAATCTGCCACTCCCAACCAGGCTTGATCAATAAGTCTATACCTAAACCTATTTTCTTTTTATTATAACCCCTCTCTTTGACAAATTCTCAACGTAATTTCTCACTGCCTGATAATGTTCTGTTTATATATGTGTTACATTATCGGTGGTATAAGTTTGCTCTGTTTTATAAGTGGTTCAAAGATAATGAAATCATTATTTATTTTTGTTTTTATCTTTTTTACAAGTGTATTTACGTTGTGTAAGTCGACCCAAAAGACTAAACAAATAATATTTGAAAGATAAAACATATTCAGCAATAGAATATATAATAGAAACTAATCCGTATGAACCCTTGTGTTCCCCATACGTCTAAAGGGAAGTGATATTCAAGGTGGATTGGGGACATGTATAAAAATGTTAATTGAGTGCTGCTGTTTTACGTTTGTTTCTCAACCTACAAACCTTTGATTTCTCTTCGGTCTCTTCAAGGTTCAAGGTTCAAGGTTCAAGGTTCTTTATTGTCAATCTGACATAGCTACAGAGTAATTATGCAGTTGAAAATCTTATGTCACAGGCTTCTCCAACAATGCAACATAATAACATTAGCTATATTGACTTCTCTACCAATGACGTGAGTTGCTATGACTACCCTGTAGGTGATTTAAGACCTGCTACGGTTGACCAATGACATGACTGCTTGAGGTTAATACAGCTCAATCAGATGGTACTTATAATCAGTTCCTGCACGTTCGCAACAAAGTGAGGATCATAATTGGACAGCCTGTGTAGTCTATAAATCAGTAACTCTTCATCAGTGGCACTGAGTGAGCAGCGGTGCTTCTGATTGGTTGAATGTGGCGCCTGAAATTGAATTCAGTTCATTCTCTCATTGCATCAAGTCGAGACATGATGTGATGAATATATTCAGCCACTAGATGTCTGTAGAGAGCTGTCAAACTCTTAAACATCCTCTGTGTCTCATGAAATATTGTTAACTTTCTCATATTAGTTCCCAGACACACTAATCACCTGGAGTTTTTGGAAACGCTCAGCTACAGTAATGCACCAAAATACAATCACTCCTCCTTATTTTGGCTCATTAGGCTGAAGGTAAGGAATAGATTGTAGTGCTCTACAAACAGATGTGATGGAAATTAAAACTTTATTACACTCACTATTCTATTAATTCCATTAAGATGGGATTTAATTGAACCACTGGGAGGTGTTATAGTGAAAGGACCTCATGTGGTTGGCTGCTAATTAGTAATTAAGAGGTAATTGCCACACCGATTTTAGTCATCAGCTGTTTTGGCTCTAGGCTAGTTAGTCATTGCACACAACTTCCCCTATTAGTTTATTATTGATTAGAGCCTGACTCTAGGTCTGTTGATCTCATACAACAAAGAAACACAGCAGCGGTGTATCGAGCTGCCTGTTGCCCTCATTCAGTCCTAGAGAGACGTTGCATCTACCATTCTGATGTAAGAACCAGCAATCCCCATTCATTTGATGTTTAATGGAGCTCAGTTTACTGATGCAGCAAAGCACTAGCGGCGTCTTTCTACTTTTAGGAATGATAGAAAACACTATCGTAAAAAGTTTAAAGATGTTAAGGAGGCTTACAGCACTTTCTGCCATTTTGGCTGTCATATTTAACACGTTTTTTGTTAAAGGGGACACTTTTATGCTAATTGTCATGCCTGTACTCTCTGACATGTTTTGTTGCTTTAATGCAGGGGTCTCCAAACTTTCTTCATCTGAGAGCTACTTTGAAAAAATGAAAGTGGCCAAGAGCTACTTGCATCACATCGCTTACATTTATTCACATAGCCCTCATCAGTTGAATTAAGCTATACTTTTGTACACGTGTGAAATAGCAATACCTAAAGCTTATCAAAAAACTTCACATCAAGGTCCAAGAAAACGAACATTTCTCACATATAATTATGGCCCACATAATAAGTACATCACTGAAAATGCACATAAATGTCCTTAATCACCACCTTACAAGCATTTCACTCTTTTGTACAGTTAGTGGATGAATGGCGCTGCATGGAGTCCACCATGCAGGTGTATGCTAGAGTGTACCCACTTAGGTTCACTCTAATAGAGTCATTTAAATGTTCATCAGTCAATATTGTTCTGTGTTTAGATTTCATGACATTCATGTCAGAAAAAGCTGCTTCACAAAGGTATGTAGAACAGAACCAAATAAAGCAGACATTTTCAGTGCTGCTTGGTGAATGTTCTTATAGTTTTTAATATTCCATTGTGAGTTGGGTGATGGAATATTCTCTGGCAAATTGTTAAAGGAGGTTAGGTATACAAGGATGTTTTACAAAGAATAAAAACATGATTTGAATCACCAGTATGATTATCAAATTGTGTCATGTATTGTAATAGAAATGGGATAGTTTCAAGGTGACTGTATTGCCAGTGTAAACATGTGCAGCTTACCACACAATAACAGAAGGCTAAACAAAGGCAGGTTGATCACGGCACGATCACGTACAAAATAGAAATACAGTAGCTCTTTAGTATTCTTGCAGGGTCTTGCATGTAACATATATGTTTTCCCCCTTATTTTTTCTTGGTTACAGAAAATCCAGCTTGATGCACAGAAACACAGAAAAACAAGTGTCTCTCTAGACGCTTCAATGATGGGAAAGACCAGATTTACAGTAGGAAATTGGTACTGGGATTATTAATGGAGTATTGATTGGATCAGGACGAAATAAATAAACCATTAATACAGAATCCAGCTTCTCAAACGGAGACGTGCTGCTTTTCTTTATCATATATAATAGATAACTGGATATCTTGTTACAGGCACATTGAAATGTATCTCCTCAGGGTTTGAATCAACATGCATTTATTTGCACGTTCTTATCGGTTAATTAGGCAAAATAACGGATTTACAGTAGCATAAATAAGGATTTGTTGCAGCTCTACTTACAGACATCATCCAACCTCCCTAAAATAAAAACCTCTTATATAAATGTGTTTCTAAATCCGGGCTGGGCTTGGTTCAACTGTCTTTTTCAACACATCTGGATCGTGTCAAAAAAGCAATCGCGGAAATGGATCATTATGAGACCTCTGTGTCCGGCACCCCAGGTTAAATTACATAATAGCGTTTTCCGAAAGACCTGAACATGGATTGTAGTGAGCTGTGTGTTCCCAGGGAGAAAATATCACAGATGTCCTCTGTAAAAAGCTGTTATTAAATATAGTGCAGCCTCTCCGACGGGTGCAGCAGGATATTTAGAGAAGATGGGTACACGTGTGTCCAAGTGTGTAAGTCTTTTTCTTTTCTGTTGCTCACTCATCCCTCCCTTATCCTCTCTTCTCCTCCCACCCATTTTTTAAACGGCTGCTTCAGCCTCAGAACAAAGCTCTTCCATTAAGTGAATTACTCTTGATGCAGAGGACATTTTTAATGGACCCCTCGATTCTTTTCATTATACATGAGCTTAACAGTGTAATGTAGTTACTCACGTCCAGCCATAGGTGCTTATTGACCAAAACATGTCATCTTGTGGGGTCACAAAGCTCCAAAGATTATCATATTAAAGCCAAATTAATTTCCCCCTTTTGAGTAATAAAGTGCATTTAATGTCATTTGTGAGACTGCAGCACTGGAGAGACTCTACAAAAAGCACTTTTCATTAGTAGAAAAGATGTTAAAAGGAAATGTGTCTGACCTAAAGATGGCAGCTGCAGTAATACCGGAACTGTAGGTGGGGAGGGGCGGTCACATCTATCAGAATCAGCTAAGTGCATTGAAAAATGTTCTCCAAAAATAACTCTATTCACTTAGAAAATAGAGTGGAAAGTGGTTTGAATGAAAGATGACATATTATGCAAAGTTTTAGGTTAATATTAGTATTTTGTGTCTCTCCTGTGACATGTCTCCATGCTTTAGTGTTCAAAAAGCTCTTTATTTTTCTCATACTGCCTGTGCTGCAGCACCTCTTTTCACCCTCTGTCTGAAACCAGAGCCCAGTCTGCTCTGATTGGTTAGCTGGCCGGCTCTGTTGTGATTGGTCAATTGCTTATAGATGTCCCGCCCCTTAGCCTATCATGTACAATGTGTTGGAGCGCTATCCAATAGAAGCACAAGTGTTACAGCGATGTCACTATGTTACAGACATAAACAAAGGAGTCCAATGGAGGCGTTTCAGGCAAGGGAGAGAAACTCCCTCTGGATGGAGCATTGAGATTGTAACCATTTAGACCATTTAGACCAGGGGTGTCAAACTCAAATACACAGTGGGCCAAAATAAAAAAATGGGTACTAGTCGAGGGCCGGACTGGTTCAATGTTTATTGCAGAACTTATTGAAATGAACTTATTGCTCATATTAAACCTGGAACTAACAAAGCTTAAATGATTGCCTATAAAACAACATTTAACATTAAATAATCAGTTGCATTCATTTCTTATGGCTCTGTCTGCAGCTTTTCCGGAGTCATTTCTTATGATTATATTATTCCACAGGCCAACAACAGCTTCAACAAAACTATTTCCCTCAAAGAAAAAAACCAAACATGCCCTGTTGTCGCAAGAAACAAAGTGCAGAAGGAAACGTCCATGTAAACTCAGTTTGCTGCTGTGATGCTAGTTGAAGCCAGATACTTGGCATCTCATCTGGGGTGCAAGTTCATCAATGTTTGGGGTCAGGCTCTGAGCTGAGGAAATCCTCAGGATTGAGTGAAGGTGTGCGTGCAATATACCAGCGGGCCAGATCTAATAGTAATTAGAAATTATCCTGCGGGCCGAAATTAAATCCACCAGGGGCCTGATTTGGCCCCCGGGCCTTGAGTTTGACACATGTGATTTACATGCACAAAAACCTATGGCACACCTTTTTAAAGGAAATTTGACCTAAAGATGGCCGCTGGAGTAAGACAGGAGCTGTAAGTGGGGAGGGCCGGTCACATCGGTTAGAATCAGCTAAGTGCATTGGAACATCATCTCCAAAAACATCTCTCTTTACATGGAAAGTGGTCTGAAATGAATGCGAGTATTTCTTGTGCTCACTGAAACAGGGTGAAACAGCGGTGAGTCCTCGGTGACACATTTCAGTGACATATTTCCAGTAGCAGAGAAAGCTGGCAGCTCAGCGGGGGGGCGTCTCCGACCAGTTTCCTTCTGTCTCTGTTCCTGTCTATCGAAGCTTCTCCTGCCCCGCTGCACAGACATGGGGAGAAGAGAGACGTGCAGAGAAATGGGTTGAAATGAAACGGATGAAGACGGGAACAAAGGAGGAATGACATGAGCCAAAAAGTCAGAAATAATTTGAGCAACACTAACTCAGTGGGTGAGAAAGTAAAGAAAAAGCAGAACCGGTTGCTTCACACAGCGAGCGGTGGCCCTCTGGGGGATTTTGCCCACTTTGTCAGCAGCTGTCTGACCTGAACTTTCTTTGATTAGACAAAAAAAAAAAAGGCCACTCTGTCAAACCTCCACTCGACTGTGACCTTTAGCTGAGAGTCTGCTTTCTGACTCATGACTGTGATGTTGCAGAAAAACCGACGAAAAAGATGAATGGAGGCACATAAACATGTCAAAACGACCTTATTGCAATTGTGTTGTATTGGTGCATCCAGATCATTGAATGGGTTTGACAAGTGTATAAACCTGTAGGTGTAATGTAACTTTGACACTTGTGTTTCTTTGCCTTTTATGATCTTTGCAATATGTTTTAAATAACTATATCAGTGCTTTTATCGTTGACACAGTTGGATGTTTCTGTTTCTCATCAATTCAAACAAAGTAAACCCATAAGAGTTTAATTACCAGTGTGCACAATACAACTAATTAACCTGAAATGAGATAAAAGGGACCCTTTTAATATGGAAACTGAAAAAGAAAACATGTCAATATAGCTTTAATGGATACGGCTGGCCTGTGTTTTTTTTCTTCATTACTGTCAACAAACCCCCTGTCACAAATATCAAGCAACAAATGCAGATTAATTGAGCCGAATACAACTGAGCTTTGTAGTGTAGAACAAAATAAAACGAGACTCAATTGTGTTTTTGTGTGAGGTAACTATCCTCAGACATGGATTCTGTTGCCGAGTCCTTACATCAGTAGGATGCTTAATGTGGGGTTGACACAAAGTAAACTGCTGCACCTGTGTTTGCTGTGCTGATGCAACATGTAAGCCAGTGTGGCTCATTAATGCTTTTTTAATAGGTTTTACACCGAGATGGAAGCAGAACGCTCCGTGTGGATAACCAGCGCTGAGTCTCAAAGGTCGCAGGTGTAATGCATCTTGTCTAATAGTAACTAATGAATATCCATCAACTGGCGCGAAGGGAACTTTTTTTCATTGTCCTTGAGCAAGACCCTTAACTTACTCCATTTATATAAGTCTCTATGAATAAAATATATGAATGCATGGCTCTAAATATAACTGGTTTTATTCCTAACTCTCAATGCACGGATGCTTTACGGTCAGGAAGGATTAATAGGCGCCGAGGAGTCTCTCTTTTGTAGTAGTTTTGCCTTTGTATCCTGATATGGTCTGTGTGTGCTGGCCTTGGATACTAGGATGCGGTGCTTCTTTATTTGAAACCATGCCGATAAAAGGCATTCAGTCTTGCTGGAAGTCTTTTAGTTAACATAAAAAAGTGATAAAATAGTCTTTCAACATTTGCACTTTAAACATGCCTTTTATGTCATTAACTTGTACAAAATAAAGCATAGAACTACAACTCTTATAGAAATTAATCAACTTCTTCCACAACCCAATAGTTTTTTATTGAGCGAGGGAAAGATGTCACAAATGTCACTCAACTTTAAGAAATACTTTTTTTATGTTACACATCAAAATGTTTACTAAATGTCTTAAAGGTCTAAAACGTTTTGTGGTGTTATATAATAAAACATGCATATTGGATATTAAATGGTCTGTTTCCTGTATGCTTACTGCTATAACCGACCTTTTAGAAGTTGTTTTCCATTCTTCATTCTTCATTTAATTTTTAATTTAATCGTTTATTTGAATAGGGACAATGCACATTAAATCATCTTTTCTGTTTTGTGAAATGGTACTGGATGTGTTGTGTCCTTTGTGTGTGCTTATTTCATTATTTAAAAAAGTCTTAAGGAAAATAATTACACTATAAAAAGGGAATTATAAGCTTTTTCCAGAGCTCTTTTGGGATGCTGGTTATTTAAGGCCTTACTGATCATACCACACTAAAGGCCTACAAGCTAAAGCAGAATGTTCCTTTGTAATTCCTTAAACTGGATAAGAGCTACCAAGATGCTTCACCACTAGAGTACTGCTGGAGGTTTGTGAAACCTAATCAATAAGAGATATTTGCTGTGTAGCATCAACTACAAACTACCAACACTATTTGGTTTACCAGCTCAACATTGATTTCGTCATTGATGTTGACTCAGGTTTATTAGATTTTTTTAAAAAGCTAACCGGAGTGCACCGTGGGAGACTTGTTTGTTTGGAGCTCAACTAACGCCTCTAACATTTGACATTAAAAAGGTTGTGTGGGTTGCTTGGTAAAACAGACTTTACATATAGTATCACATACAAAATTATTTCCTGTAGTATTTTTACCATTTGTCTTCTGTAGTGATATACATAGGATGAACTTAATAAGATGATTTGCACTCTCTACAAGGAGACTTATCAAGAGGAAAACATGGATTTACTTGCATTCATTTGCACTGCATGTCATTGACTCAGCTCTTAAATGGTGTGTTAATCACACGCACCTCCTCTAGACACACACTGCCAACAGAAACGCTCAGGTTCGTTCCTCTTCCCGACAGCTTTTATTCATTTCTGAATAATGGCGTCCCATTTAACAAAAGCTTAATTTTTCCAAAGTGCAATTAACTTCAGGTAAATGCTAACAGAGTCCGTTTTGTGTGTGTTTTGTCTTGCAGTCCTGTCAATGAAGAGCTTCAGATAGAGAAGTACTCCTATGCAGACCAGCTGCCGGTGTCTGAGATCATCCATCAGGTAAGAGAGAGACGCACACGCACACGCACACGCACACGCACACACTTCAGGGTCATTAGGGGTGGGACACTCAAAACAAGGAAAGGTCCTCGATGATATGATCCCGACATTTTTCTTATTACTTGCAAATTCTATTTTTCATTATAATAGCCAAACACACAAATGCATATTATATTCTCCCCCATTGCTCTTTCCTCACCCTGTGTAACCCCAAGAAGAAGAGGGGTACACAATCATTCATAAATCAGTCAAAGTTCAAAGGCTTTGTTTGTCATATGCACAACAGAAACATTAACCAGTGGCGGAGGAAGTACTCCGATTTTAAGTAAAAGTATCCATACTTAATTGTAAAAGTACTCACAAGTAAAAGTCCTGCATTCAAAACCTTATCTTAAAGTACAAAAGTATTGCACTAAAATAAACTTTAAGTTCCACGTGTAAAAGTATTTGTTATGTGTAATGGCACATTTCAGAATCGTATATATATGAGGTCGCATTCACACCAGCCTTGTATAGTCCGGTTGAATCGAACCCTGGTGCGTTTAGCCGCTTGGTGCGGTTCGTTTGGGTCGGTGTGAACACAGTCCGAGACCTCTGAAGTGAACTAAGCAACCGGACTCTGGTCCGCCTAAAAGAGGTAGTCTCGGAGCGCTTGCTTGCGAACTCTGGAGCGGTTCATTGCTGGTGTGAACGCAGTCCGCACCAAAACATAGGAAGCGTAGTATTTACGTGTCACAAGAACGCGGATGTCTTCAAAAATCGTTAGCGAAAGAGTGAAGCAGAATGATGTGTTGAACAGTGTTGTGTAAAGTAAAAACAACTATCAAACTAAAAACTATATATAAAAGTCAGAGCCACCTGCCGTCGGTGAAACCTCCTCCTTACGTGCAGAACGTCTCTCATTATATGTGTTACAATGTTTTGTATCGCACGTTGTCTGATTATATAATCATATGTGCTGTCCAGTGTCCACTAGAGTCTGTTGATCTGATCTCCAGATTAACAACAGCATGAAAATAACCTGCCGATGCTCCATGGCGGAGGCTCCGGTAGAAATTGCCGGGATTTGCGTTTGTACCCCCTTAATGTCTGACCAATGGTTGAACAGCATTTCCGTGCACATGACTTGTGTTTAAAGTTTATAGTCCGTTTGAGTTTTGCCCGTGTGAACCGAACCTTCTGAAAAATGAAACCATGTAACAAACTGTCGCCTGGTGCACACCAGAGAAGCGGACTATTAGGTGTGAATGCGACCTGATTACTGGATTTACATGCACACAAATCTACATAACACTACAGGAGAGGTAAACCCCCAAACAGCATGACAGGGCCTCTTTAACATAACAGTAAAACAAGTATAAATGGTGCAATAGACAAAATGACTCAAATGGGTTACATACTGTGGATTTGTATAAATAGAAATATACAAAGATCCTCATTGCAGATGAACCCTTTTAAGAACATAAAAACATCTACAGTAGCTGACTATACATCGTTCTTCGATTCGCCCTTATCTGTGCTCTGGTATATAACCTTCCCAACTTTCTTTCTGTTCATTCACAGTTCTTATATGATGACACTTTTTCAAATTCAGCAACCTTTTCCATTTCAGTTTCCCCGACCCTGAATAGCAGGTATTTCTTGAGAACATTTTGCCACCCTATCATTACTGCTGTCTGGGTCCGTTTCTCTATACATGGAGAAAGTGCAAACCCAAACCTCCAATTATCTCTCAGGAAAAAAAGTTTTGGACAGAATTCGAAAATGTAGACCTATGACATTTATAAGTTAGCTGTTCCTCCAGATGTTTTGGATGTGTGGGCACAACCATCACAACACCTTGATTTCCACCAAGTCTCTGAATCCTTTAATTACATGTGAGCACATTCATCTTCATCAAATGAAACACTCAAATCTTTCTCCCAAACACTTCTCAGAGTTGCCAGCATCGGTGGAAGAAGTATTTAGGTCTTATACCTGGGTAAAAGTACCAATAAATGTCAAAAATACTCCATTACCAGTAAAGGTCCTGCAATTAAAATCTCACTCATGTAAAAGTACTAAAGTATTATCATAGAAATGTGCTTAAAATATTAAAAGTACGAGTCAATCTGCAAGTGCCTCAATATGTGATATATATAATAGTCTCTAAAAGCTGTAAGATAAGAATAGTGAAGTAGAAATACAATATTTACCTATGAGATGTAGAAGTATAAAGTAGCATTGAATGGAAATACTTAAGTAAATTATAAGTAACTCAACATTGTTCCTATATACAGCACAGTAGTAACATCACTGGTAGCCAGATATTTACAGTATCTCCCCTAAACACAAACATTTAATGATATTGGCATTTTTTAACACCCATTTTATTTGTGGTGAATCGTCAAATGTCTTTTGTGGGTTCACATATTTTTTCCCAAGACACCTGTTGCTGTTTTTGTATATCGTAGCGTGTCCTCAATTTGGACACAGAACAGAAAGTTATCCAGCAACAGATGTCTTTGTGTCGTTTCCATGGTGACGGCTCTTAAGTGTGAAATGCAAGTGCCTCCTAGTCTCGGTGTGAAGGGGCCACCGTGAAATCCAGCAGAATGGATAGGTAGGATTGTGGCGATGAAATTGTGCATTCAGCTCATTCCCAAATGGATTGTGGCTTTCAGTGGAGCCGACCTTCACAAATGAACACCTATTCCTCCTCATTCCACCTTTTGAACGTGTGCTCGGCATTCAAAACACACCGTCTGTGCTCGGCTGTATCCCTCTTGTAAGATCTTCCATGAAGAGCCTTTAAAAGATACTATTTCTATACTTCCCCTTCAACTCGTGCTGCAGAAAAGTCACATTCATCTTTGCCACTGGCAAGAGCAGACATTTATGTGGAGCTTACATTTGGGGTTCAGCTGCCTCTGAAAACCATATTTAAAACATTAACACGACCATCCTCACAGTATTATCCAATGCTATATCCTAACAGAGATGGATAAATGTTATATCAATTCTGTAGCAGTATTTGATTTCACCTCGACAGCTTCAGTAAGTGACAGTGAAAGCTACACCTTGGCAGCATTTATTTCAGAGCTTTTTTAATGGGTTGCACGCCCTGCTTATGTACACATGGGCTTTAACCAAATCAAAATATAATCATCAACTTAATGGATAAATCGCATCCCTCTTGTATTCACTATCCTCATGATTAGCTTCTGTAATCAATATTTTTATTTTAAAAAGGCAACATATACAAAGAAACGTGTGTTTTTGGGGTATCTGGAGTGCCTCGAAACCCACCAACTAAAGTGCTTCAACGTTCATAGAAATGATTTTAAACTAATTAAAAGGACAATTTTTTTTTTTTTTTTTACCAAAGAGCTCCATCTAGGCTTCTGTCTGTATTCAAGCTAATTGGGTATCTACCCTTCAGCTTGTTGGAGCACCTTGTCATTTCAACAAAGCTATCTTTTTTATTTTAATATTTCAAAGTCAAAGTCAGCTTTATTTCTACATACAGAAATCTTGAAATACCGTTTCTCGCAGTCCCACTGTGTGACATATATACATAAAACAAGATACAAAAAGGGCCTAGATAAACGGGGTATAAGACTAAGTAATAGTAGTAATAAGTACTAGTTAATAATACATTTAAAAAAAAAACACAATCCACAGAACATGAATTGATATTTACAACTTCCATGCAGTAAGATGAGCTATAAGCATTCTGTCTAAAACCCCATGGGATGTCATATTGCAATCTTACATAGGGATAATGACTTCAAATCAAAAACAAATCCAGACTTTTTCAAATGATGTTTTTGCTAAGGATAAATGGAACAATTCAGCTATTGTGTTTCCCACATTAATGCTTAAAAAAGAAGTCATTTTCTAAAGTAATGCCAATCGTCAAACCTGGCCTTGTGATTTTTAAAGCCACAGCTGCTTTCTGGTTGATTTCATAAGAACACAATTACCACTTCTCCAAAAAGACATGAAATGATACAGTGGCTGTTTATAATGAGTATAAACAGCCACTGAGGCATCTAATTATAAATCTGCAAAACAGAAAAGACTCAGTTGGTGGGGATAGATCTGTGGAAATGCTCTTGGTTTCCTTTCAGGGACTACAGTCCAGGAGGAGTTGCTGACATTTGAATGAACCCTGATGTTCTTCTCCTCTACAATGACTGTTTATACTAAAGGTCAGATCCAGCTGACCAGCTAAGTTTGAAAAAAAAATCGTGGAAGAAGTCTCCGGTTCTGCTGCTGTTAGTCTTTAAAAGGAGTCACAGTCATTTGGCCCAGAGAAATGAAGCTCACCACGGGCCGGAGCGCTGTCAGACGCTTATTGAGTATCGGGATGGGAAGCAGGAGGGGTCTCTGTGCCCGGCAGGAAATTGATCTCTGAGAATTGCCTGGAAAATACATTCTGGTCTCAGATCGGCTTCCCACTGCTCACATAAGAAACAACCTCGTCAATAATGTTCTCAACACAGAAGCCGTCACACTATTAAAGGTCATTAAAGCCATTTACTCTCCGCCGGCTTCATATCTTTTTTTGTCTCCATACATTTCTTTCTGTCTACCCCCACTCCTCTTTCAAATGCACCCGCACGAACAACGCAGAAACAAACTCATCGACCCGGCGACCCCTGTCAGAGATTTCGATTATCGGCTAGCTCTCCTGCTGGGTTGAGGATGGGAGTCCTGACAGACTGAGTCATCTCTCCCCCCTTCAACATAATCCATCTGCACTGCTGCCGAATGACCAATGTCCAGAAAGCCTATTGACGGCTGTCCTCTTTTTGATTAGCTGTCATATTGTGCGCGCCACTCCCCGAGATATCGTTGTTTTCCGGCCACCGTGGCAGCATCTGTTGTTGTCGCCGATCAGATGCACTCATCTGAAGGACCCGATGTGATTGAATCTCATAAGATTTGATGTCTAAAGTATTCCCAAGTGGTCCGATTTCAGCGGTGCCTCCAACAAAAAAACGAATCTTCTCACT